TCACAAACTAGCAATAGAAAAAGGGTGGCATATGCAACCCAAAATACCTACTGAAAATAGAATTTGCAAACAATGTACACAGAATAAAATAGAAGATGAACTGCACTTTGTCATGATATGTCCACAATATAAAGTACCGGTAATACGCCAACAAATCATTCAAGACATTACATTTCCAGAAGAAACGCAGGATGATCTCCAGAAATTTAAGTTCTTGATGACTTCAAAAGATGATGTAATAATAAAAAAGATTGGCAATTATATTCATAACGCATTTCAATCAAGGAATGAAAATGCCATTTGATATGTAACACTTGCTTTATCCTATTAACAACTAACTTTCTTTTTGTAGTAGTAGTTATCACAACTAATCTTTATTGCTATTAACTGATAGAAACATTGTATTTCTAAGGATGCAATAAAGTTATTATTATTATTATTATTACAATAAGCTTTCCGAAAATATATAGTTTTGTGGACAAGGATCATCTTGGTTTTCTAATTAACTAATTAAAATACCTGTCAGGTAAACTGCATCTCTACCTTAAATCAAATAAAAACAAATGTTTCAGTACTGTGAAATTTAAAAAAAATGGTATGAATTGTTTTTGTTGTAATAATTTATTTCTGAACAGAACACCCATTTTCATTTTCTTCTTTACTTTCATGTAGAAGGGGAAGTTTTTGGGGAAAATCCATTACATCTTTTCTTTTCGTCTTATATATGTCTTTATACCCAGGAAATTTGTTTTGAAAAAATATTTGTTTTTGATATGAATCTTATTGTTAATAATGTTCTTTAATTTTACATTGAGTTTGCTATTGTATTTTTTCATTTTGTATAGATGGAAATTAAAATACAAATTCAAACATATCTGGAAATACTAGCTCAATTTACTGGTAATTTTGTCTAAAAATATTGTTTGATTTAGCAAGAGTTATTCATGTAAGTACCGAGGGTACTTTAGTTTTCACACAGTATGTTTTACCTCATACATATCACAACAAACAATCAGTCTATTACCCACCGCTTGTTAGACATGTCCAAAAATGCTAACAGGAAACTTGATATAAAAACAAAATAAACGAATTTGAGGATATTTTACCATTTCACTTTTTTTGCTGACCATATTATCCAAGCAGTTTGGCTTACATTTTTGAAAACATCCACAAATTCCAACCAACAATGAAACAAATATTAATTAAAAATCAGAGATGATGTCATGAATGTTCTTTTTAGTAACCAAGATGAATTCAAACAATTAAGTCAAGCAACCTACTACTTTGTTAAATAAGACCATTTGACCATTAATTATAATATCAAAGGTATATGACATAGGGAAATCAGAGAGGCACTTTCATATCAACTATGACTGAGCTATGATTTTGATAAAAAATTATCAAATTATTCAACAAAAGTAGAAAATTACAGATTTTGTCATAAAATTAACAAAATTTATGAAGTATCGGTAGTTGAAAATATAAATTTTGACAAAAATTGAACAATAACAAATCTGAGGTATGAAATAAATTGAGAATTACTGTCTTAAGTTCAGAAATAAGGTCAAAGTACTGTTAGATAAAAAGCAATATTGTTTGATAGATTGAACACTAAAAAACTGAATATTTATGATTCAAATAATTTTCACAAATTTACAATAATATCAATCAGGTTTACAGTCTTATAAATCTCAATAAAATAGAATACAATCTATAAAAAAGCAATAAAATTTTTACAGAGGAAAATAAACAAAACAAAAAAAAGTTAAATAGGATGGGAATTGATTAAATTAATAATTGACCCACTTATTGTTGGTAACACTTGGGATAAGCTTGCCTGAAAAGAAAGCATAATTCCAGGTGTTTTTTGGAATAGTGAACACACACAGCCAGGGAAATGTAGCTCACATTCTGTAGAAAGTAAAACTAAATAATTGGAATTCTTGGAATTCACACTAGACTCTAGATGATCTTGGTCAAACAAACTGTCATGCAGACACACTTGGGATTTAACTCAACTTTTGTTTTGTTATCAGTAAAATTTCTATCCAATGCACACTGACTACACTGGTGTATGAGTATGCTTTTCAAGAAATTAGTAACCCCCCCCCCCCCAACACACACTCTAGTTTTCAGTTCACCACATGTGTGTCTTTCATGATCTGTCATATTCAGGAAAATATTTGTTTGCGATTTCATAAACCTGTTACAGCTGGTATTTACAAATAAATAAATTTTGTGATAAATTTGTATACGGTATCAGAAGGAATTCTTGCCCAGCTACTAGTAAATTGTGAACACGATTCCCCCCTTGAAACAGATAATAAGGGCCCACACTTTTAAATTGATGGGGTGGGAAGAAGAGTCAGTTAGTATTTAACATCGATACGTCAGGGTGTTCTTTAAAACTTGGTATGGTAAAATATATACCGGTACCAGTATAAGTGTAGTGTAAGGAAAACATTTTGAATGCAAGAAGTAACAGTAAGTTTACTTTTACACAGTGACATTGCTTACATCTTGCTTTCAAATTCACCCTACCTTATAGCACGATTTTTGTCTGTAATAAATGGAATATTCCTAATTTGGTTGTTGTGCTATCTTTCCTCAATTGTATTCCGCGCTGAATTTAACTTCCGTGGGATTTTGAGGTTTTGTGACACGTTTATAAGGTGTTTTACTATTAACTTGTATCACATTGTCTGCGATCAACCAGGGTGATCTGATTCTTGCAGCATCGGTTACTATGTAATCACGGACTGTCGGACAATGTCATAGTTCAAATTCACTTGAAGCAGTTGTTAAAGAGAAATGCCAAAACAGTATCCAGATCTGGTAAGTGGGTCGTTTGTCTTCATTATTTGCATTAGTGACCTCTCCGACTCTCAGTGTTAATCTGGACATGAACTCGTCAAATTGTTATTGCTGCCATGGATGGTAGGATAGTGTTAGGAAACTTTGAACGTTGAACGTATTGTGCTGTTGTTTGTTTATACGCCCGGGGTTATAATGCGTCTAACTTTTATGGGTATATTGTGCTGTGGAGTTAGTGCTGCAGTCTCTTGGTAAACCTACAAACACGAATCTATGATGCTATCTCACTTACAACAATAAAGGGATTACCGGGGTACCTGCCGACATCGGATATCATTTAATATTTTGACACTCACAACAGGAAGTTGTGCACAAAAAAGTGTGATGCATCATGGGAGTATCACACTTGGGTGAAATCACATGGAGTTGGAATAACCATAGACCCTATCAAGTCACCAGTCTCTATGGTCTATGGAATGACTTGTGTGAATTTTTAATGAAGATTGAAAATAAAAGTATATTGTCTTATTCTGCTGTTTACCCCTCCCCTCCTACTGTTATAATAACAATAATTTTCTAACTTCAATTAATTAATAAGATAACTGGTGCATTCAGATTCACCTGTGTAATTTGTAACTAGACATATACCAGCTTCTATTATGTGAGGGCGCAATTCTGTGTTATAACCATTAGTCTCCGCGCATGCGCACTTTATTTGTTTTCCGCCATATTTGTTAACCAAAAGATTTTACCAACTTTATTGCAAGATTCTAGTATCCGCTGTAATCTGATTGTCATCTTTGCCATCCAGTCGTATTATTGTTGAATTTGTATCTGGTGTTAAGATCTGATATGGTCTGATATTTTGAAGCTAGAAATTGTGAATTGAGGACAGAAATTGTCTTTGTTGCGTTCTGTCGGGGTTTCTGTAGTATATCTTTGTAATACACACAGAATTAGGAGATAAAAAGAACCGGATATGTGATTGGACTCTATATGTTGTCTATGTGTCTTATATCTCAGCGTTACAATTAGATGGACTGAAACGGGAAGCCAGAAGACATAAAGGGGAAAGCATTATTTTTTATTCATGACTGGTTTATTATATGTAGCTAAAATGTACTAAAACTAAATTTAGCAATAGTGTTTTGGGTCAGGTTAGTGGCTGAATGGCGGCCATTTTTGTTCTAAAAATCATCAAAATCAAGCATTTCTCTGCTGTTTATAGATGGATTTTGTTCAAACTTGGTATATATGTTTGACATTATAGGACTTTGATGCACATCATTTTGTTTTTCAGCTAAGATTCAGAATGGCTGACATGCTTTGACTGACTATGTTCAAATTTTATATATTCATTATACACTATTCAAAATGGCTGATTTTGTTTTATTAATGCTGTTCCAGAGCAATATCTCTCAATATTCGTTTGACGATCAGATACAAATGTCAATCATTTAAATGTTAAACAATCATCATAATCATATTCCTGACATGTTTATATTCTAGTTATATTACTATAAACAAAACTATATATCTTGAATTTGATAACTAACAGGGATTGTGCCATGCATGGCTTGTTTTTGATGTCATGTGCAATTCTCTACTTTCAGCGATTCAAGTATATTCGTGGTTTGATTCGTCATGAGCGAGACCAAAGACGACAGCACTATCTAAAACAGGCAGCAGAATGGACATCCAAAGCCATTGTTTCACTATCACTCACGGATGCACCAATCAGATCTATTAAACAAGCACAGAAACTTGAAGGAGTAAGGATTATA